GTCGCAATGCATCATGAGGGTAAGACATCAAGATCAAGTCCTGATGTTCCATGATGATAAGAGTTGGGTTTGAGTCCCAATTCATTATGGCCTAACATACCTTTATATTTGTAAGACATTGGGTTTGAGTATACCATATTGATGATATAATGATAACTAAAGAAAAATAATATATTTGTCATGAAAATGCATGAATATTGTCCCACTTGATTTGCTCCATTCTTGAAGTGAATATGGTAGCGACGCATAATAAGTCTAAATGAAGACAAGTGGTTGAACAATGAACGTGGACGTTCCAAATATCAAAATAATAATAATCATCACTATGATTATAAAAGGAGAACAATAAGGGTTCTCAAAATAGTCCTTCAAAATGTGAAGGCGATGTTTACCATCAAATTGGTATGAAAAATAATAAAGCACACCGCTGACTATGATTCATTCCTTGAAGAGAATGTGACTTGTGATAAGCATTGAGAATGCAGACACATTCTTAAAGGTGAATGTGGCAATATGTGATAAAAGTAATGAATAAAGACATGCAATGCATGATTAGATGAATACCACACAACTCACCTCTAAGGGAGGTTTGAGTGAAATAACGAGAATAAATATTATTGTGTGGTTACATGAATATGTCATTGGTCGCGTACATGTGATACGCCATTTTGTTTTTGTTCTGCCTTATAAAAGGTTATTAAAGGCAAATATTAAAGCAAGAAATAATTTTGCTTATGATGATTTTGACCATGATAATTTATTATGATATAATTTTCTCCGTGAAGGAGATATTTACCATATGAATCGAGTGACAAAAGATCTTGTAGTACAAAAGTTGTTAAGAGATCCAGAAAAATTAATTTGTTACTACCTGGATGAATTAAATTATTCACGACATTGATATTGTAAAGTCTCAAAAGAAACTTTTTGAGTTTCAAATGTATAAATCAAAGTGGTTGGCATATTGAGACTATAAATGAAAGGAATATTGAATATCTTCATATTTCTATAATCATAACGGGTAAATATGAAAGGTTACCTGATTTTCTTTCTATTTGTACTACACAAATACAAGCATGATGATGGAATCATATGTCACAAGTAAACTAGAGTTTTACGGAAACAAATATTAATTGGCATAACCAGTTGACCATCCTGGTTCAATTATGATGCGAAAAATTAATTGAGAATTACATTGGCATATATTGAAGAAATAGAAGATTCTTCAAGAATTCTCTTGTGCTGCTTATTCTCATGATATACCAGTTAAGGTTGGGATTGAATCTCTTGATTTCTGAAATAAATAAAAGGTGATAAATATATGGGCCCAGTCACCTGCCATGTGGACCGTTTACTATTATATGATTTTAATAGATGTATCTATTATATGGTCACATGTGCATTTGTTATCAACTTGTAGTTTGGCTTTTGCAAGATTGATTGCTCAAATTATTAGAGCACAGTTCCAGAATATAAATTATGATGATTTATCATGATAATATTGGTTTAAATCCAAGTTTGTTTAGCAGAAAATGTATGCCTCCAATTATATCTAAACCATTGGTTATGAAAACAAAACTGCCAAAATAAAATTTGATATGTGATATATTATTTAATATACAACAGCACTTGCACGCATCTAGCCAAGTTATGATAAGTTCTCCTTATCACAATCGGTTCAAGGTCAGGAACCAAATAATTTTCATCTAGAAATATGAATGTGCTATATAATTTAATTATTCCACCACAATGCACAAAGATGGATGCCCAAATAAGGCTAGGGATATGTGTTGGTGATCCCAATAATAGGGGGAGAAAATGGACAGCTGAAAAAGTAATACATGTAATGAATTATTATGAGTACATCTAGATCCTCGTACGAGAAAATGTGAACTTGAAGTTCAAGTGATCATTCATTTGTAAAATATTGCCAGGCGTATTTGCTGACCCAAAGCTAAATGTCATATTCAATTGCTAATACTCCAAATAAAATAAAGTTCATAATGAATAGAGTCTATGGCATGCATGAAGCATAATAGACCAATCGGTTCCAAAGATAAAATTCCTTGAAGAAGGAGAGGAGCAAATGTTCAAGATGGTCATAATAAGGAAACAAGTGCTTTAGAAGAGCACCACGACATAACACTTTATAAAACCTCATGGGAGAGGCTCAGGTACCTGAAAATAATAAGATAAAGAGATCTCAATAAGTTATGTCTTTATTGGGTAATAGTAGAACCGATATAAAATGATCGTCGACGATATTGTTAATATAATGTAGCGCTCAATATTATTAATATTGACGAGAATCTTGAGCTCAAATCTGTCATAAAATTTAAACAGATAAATGATTGGCCAAATGAAAACTACGCAATGAAAATTGATTTCACCTGAAAAATATGAAGTTAAAACGGAAAGTCCCAGCACCTGAAAGTATAAAGGCAGTGCAGGTATAAATGTGTTTTTGTGCGAAAAAAAAAGGTCAAGTCGATAGACATAAATACGACTTGTGTCACACGAAGATTTATAAATATCCTGGCATTAATTATATAGAGATATGTTCTCGTGTGGTGGATGTCGTCATTTCAGGTTTTAATCTGGCAATACAAGAAAAATGTGATATGTGTATAATGGAAATTATTGAAGGATTTAAATTGTTCGGAAGCATATTAAGGTTTTCAAGAAATTTATTAAATAAAGCTTCAAAAATCCTTATACAGATTGAAACAATCAGGGCGCATGTGGTATAATCACTTGAGTGAGTACCTGTTGAAAGAAGGGTACAAAAATAATTCAATTTGTCCTTGTGTCTTTATAAAAAGATCTGGATCTAAATTTGTTATAATCGCCATGTATATTGATGATTTAAATATCATTGAAACTCCTACGGAGCTTCCTAAAGCAATAGACTATTTAAAGAATGAATTTGAAATGAAAGATCTTGAAAAGATAAAATTTTGTCTTGGTCTATAAATTGAGTATATGAAAAATAGAATTTTTGTCCATCAATCAGCATATACTAAAACGATTTTAAAGCTATTCTATATGGATAAAGCACATTCATTGAATACCCCAATGGTTGTAATATCACTCGATATAAATAAAGATCCATTCCAACCTTATAAAAATAATAAAGAGCTTCTTGGTCCCGATGTACCATATCTTAGTGCAATTGGTGCACTAATGTATCTTTCTAACATTACAAGGTCTGACATAACTTTTTCAGTTAATGTCTTAACAAGATATAGCTCTACAACTACAAGGAAATATTTGAATGGAATCAAACACATATTGCGGTATTTAAAAGGGACTACCGATATGGAATTATTTTATGGAAATGATTGCAGTCCCGATCTTGTTGGTTATGCCGATGCTGGGTATTTATCTGACCCACACAAGGCTCGATCTCAAACTGCTATATGTTTACATATGGAGGCACTGCTATATCTTGGAGATCGACTTACCAATCAATCATGGCTACTTCATCTAATCATGTTGAGATAATTGCTATTCATGAAGCAAGTCGAGAATGTGTATGTTGAGGTCTTAATACACATTATTCGAGACAAATATGATTTGAAGTGTGACAAACTACCCACAATTTTGTATGAAAACAATGCAGCATGCATAGCCCAATTGAAGGGAGGATTCATAAAAGGGGATAGGACAAAGCACATTTCACCAAATCTCTACCGACGTCAACCTTCAAGTGATAATATGGTTGATTTCTTCACCAAATCTCTACCGACGTCAACCTTCAAGAAATTAGTGTACAAGATTGGGATGCGAAGGCTCAAGGATATGAATTGATGCTCTCATCAGGGGGAGTTAATACGCGTTGTACTCTTTTTCCTTACAATATTTTGTTCCACTGAGTTTTCCTTGTAAGGTTTTTAACGAGGCAACCAAACGGCGTATTTCTAAACATGTGTACTCGTTTTCCTTCACTAGAATTTTTTCCTAATAAGGTTTTAACGAGGCACATTATCTATGGACATCGAAGGGGGAGTGTTATAAGAAAAATTAAATTATGGTGAATGTCTACTCTTCCTACATGATCTTCTCAAATGCTTAATGACCTATTCAATGACATATTTCTATGCTTAATGACATATTCAATAACATATATTTCTTTACTTTTCATGCCTATATAAAGGCCTTATAATAGATAGAAAAATACACACAATTGAAGAAGAAATAAGAATCTTTCCTTTTTTTTCTCTCTCTATATTTCTTAGTTTGTTTTTCTTTGTTCTATATTGTTACTTTGAGCTATATTTTATAACATATGCAAAATTCTATACATTTTGGAACTTATTTGTAGCTATCAAAATAGACTCTCCAACTTCAAATATCATCTTTTTCAACGTGTGTGTATGAGAGAGAGAGAGAACTTTTTTAAGTCAAATACGATTATAAAATGATATTCAGCCTGTTAAAGTGATAAAAGAAAGAGGTTGAGCTCTCACACTCACCGACAATAACAAAACAAGAAAATAAAAAAAAATAAAAAAGTGATGCAGTGCAATTAATTATTGTAAATATCACAACTAGCATGTCTATTCCATATTGTAGAGAAAAGAATAATAAAGAAATGAGACCAAATTATTAAAGCACAAGAGAAGATGCTATTCCCTTTATTCCAATTTAAACCTTTTAACTTTTTCAGATTTAAACCTAATAATTTTAACCATGCATTTGGACATAAAAGATTTTAATTTCTCTAAATAAAATTTATATATTTGAAAATTACGTAAAAAGTTCTATATGTGACAATAATTAATAATTCAAAATATTTAAAAATATATATATAAAAAATTAAAATCAAAATATAATATATTTGACTCTTGAAATCCGAACAATTTCACATAAATTGGGACACACTTTATTTTACGTCTAAATACGAAGATTTGACCACAAAATTAGGTGATGATGATTGGAGCCAGCAAGAAAAAAGGAACGAACGTAGTTGGTAGCCAATATGAAGCCACTACGATGAAAAAAATTACTAATTAATCAATGAACACCGAAGTTCCATTTGTATACAATAATTATGAGTAATACAAAAAGAATGCAATATGAGGTTTCAAAGAATCATATTATCAAATTATTTCAATGGCAAGGTTTTCGTCTTCTTCATCTAGGTCCAGGTCTTCTCTTCCATACATTGTATTGCTCTTCGTTGCTGCCCTTTTTGTCTTTAAGGTAAGAATTTTAATAAATATTCTTAATTATTTCTCTAATTATCTTCTTAAAGATTGTATAATCATCCTTCATTTGCATCTTTAGCTCACACTGACATGAAAATTAAATTGATATGATAATTCTGATTTTGTTTTTGTACGATTGTGTAAAGTGCATATTTTCTCATTGTGTTTTTCTTATAATCGTTTCAATTTATGGAATGTCCAAACTATGTTTTCTTTTCGATTATAAAACACACACATCTCATTTCCTCTTCTTCTTTTTTATCCTTGAAAATAAAGATCCCAATAGATGAAGATTATGCTTAAAACTAGGGATATGATTTCACTGTCTCCTATCTCTATCTGCATAGTCATGTTCGTATGAAGTTGGGATTTTGAGTTTATGAATTTTGAATTATTGAAACGGATCATTGAATGTCAGATCAATTATTATATACTAAGTGAATTTGTTAACACAAATTAAGATCTTGGTCGAATTGTAGCTCCGCCATGGGTCTTGTCATTTTTTTCTTCTCAAGAGTTAAAAATTAATTTGTGGAATTAATTACATGAGCAGATAGATGTTATCATATCTCAGACATTTAGTTCAGCCCGTCGCAACCTGGAGAACACTCCTAACCGTATCTTAGTGAAGTCTAAATCCCAAGAAACTGATGACAGGTATACAAATTCTTTCCTTCTTCCTATTTTTATTTTTATTTTCTTTCAATATTTTTTCTTGGTGAGTAAATTTTTTATTTTACAAACCAAATATAACATTACAGCACTTGTTTTACAAGGAACTTGGACATCATGCCCCAAGTCTTATACTCATCAGACTCTATCATTGAGTACAAGAATGAAAACAACTAAGGCTATCCTCAATCTCTAGGGTACCACTTCATAGCTTGCAACTTTCTAGTTAGCTTCTTATACTGATTTCCTCGACTATGGACTTCCTGTGCTATCAATCGTAAGATGATCTCCTTTGTCCTGGACTTGCCTTGAAATATCCTCAAGTTCCATCCATATATGGTAGACACACGCTGCCATGCATAGTCTATACATATTAGCCATTGCTGACTGTCCATTTGCATGAACCTCTGCCCATTAAACTTCTTCAGACCATCCTTGAGCTCTCTTTTTGATTCCCTGCTATTTCAATAATCTCTTCCACATTTGCGATGTCATTTCACATTTAAAGAATAGATGCTCAGCTGTTTCTGGTTCTCTAGCACACAGTGGGCATGTCAAGTCTTCAATCTGACTCTATTTAGCTATTCTATCTCTTGTTTGCAATCTCCCTTGTAAGTTTAAATACAGTATAAACACCCATCTAGGAGCCTCGTAGTTGTTACATATCAGTCTTCCCCAAGAGCATTTAGGGAACTCACCTCGAAGCTTCATGTACATTCTTTGAATAGAAAAGGTCCTTATCAGTATGAATTCCTTCTCTTGTAGTCCCACTTCTTCTAGGTATTTTGCTGCTTTTAAGATCTTCTGTACAATTCAAGATGCTTGCTTAGGTTGACTCATACACCGTGTGGTTCTTCTCCCATAGTAGCAATGTATCCACTTCACCCATAGCCTTTTCTTTTTGGTACAAACATTCCACAGTAGTTTGCATATAGCAGCCTTGTTCCAAGCTTGAATATCTATGATATTTAGTCCCCCTACAACTTTTGGAATACAGAATTTATCCCACGCAATTAGTGCCCTTTTTGAATTATCTACTCCTCTTGTCCATAAGAATCTTTTGCATACACTTTCGACCAATTGAATCAGATTCTTTAGTAGGGTAAATATTTGAGACCAGAATGTTTGGATGGAGAAGAGAACACTCTTGATTAGCTGAAGCCTCCCTGCATAAGACAGTAGCTTTGATGTCCAGCTTGTGACCCTGCCTATTATCTTATCAATTAGGGGCTTACATTGAGCCAAGGACAGTCTTTTTGTGCTAAGAGGTACCCCTAAGTATCTTATAGGAAGTTCTCCTTTTAAGAAATCAAGGTGGTCAAGTATGTCAAGCTGTAATTGCTGATTAACTCCACCAAAGTAAATACTGCTTTTCTCCACATTTGCCTCCAGGCCTGACACTATTCAGAACATCTGAAAACAAACATACAAAGCTTTCACAGAAGCCATATCACCTTTACAAAACAGCAGAAGGTCATCTGCAAAACCAAGTTGTACTATATTCAACTTTGCACACTTCGGATGCAATTTAAACTCCTTATTCTCCTTCAACCCCTTTAGAACTCTTGTGAAATATTCCATGGCTAGTACAAATAGGAAAGGGGACATAGGGTCCCCCTGTCTGAGTCCTTTCTTTGATGGGAATGGCTTCATACGATTCCCATTAATGATAATGGAATAGGAGACTGTAGTGACACACTTCATGACCCATTGAATGAAGATCTCTGGGAAATTCAGTTGAATTAGAATCTGTTCTAGAAAGCACCACTCCACAGAATTATATGCCTTCCTCATATCAATCTTCATACAGCATCTTGGAGAGATAGACTTCCTGTTATACCCTTTAACTAGTTCATGACTTCGTATAATATTATCTGATATTACCCTTCCAGGAACAAATGCAGACTGACTATCATCTACCAGATAATCCATTACCTCTTGTAGTCTGCTAGTAATGAGTTTGGAAATGATCTTATATATGGTGGTGCAACAGGATATTGGTCTGAACTCAGCTATTCTGGATGGATTATGCACTTTTGGTATCAAAGTCACTGTGGTGCAATTAATTGGCTTGTAAACCTTAGTTGTTCTGAAAAACTCTTGTACTACCTCAACTACTTCATCTCCTATGATTTCCCATATCTTCTTAAAAAATACAGCATTATATCCATCACACCCTGGGGCTTTAGAATCTTCTATACTTTGTAGAGCCTGGTAGATCTGTTCCTTAGTCATAGGAGCTATTAGCTTCAATTGCTGATCTCTTATCAACACATTCCCTCTCTTCATTACTTCAAGTTCAATAGCTGGAATTTTCACTGCTGTTGATCCTAGAAGCTGTTTGTAGAATTGAATAATTTTCTGTTGCACCTCCTCTTGATTTTGGGTATGCATCCCTGTCTGAGTGAGCAGCCTAGTGATTTTCTTTTGGGCATTTCTATTCTTGATACTAGCATGGAAGAAAGCAGAGTTTGAGTCACCCAGCTTTAGCCACTGAATTCTAGACTTCTGATTGAGAATACTTTCCTCTATCATAATCCACTTCTCCAGCTTCTCTTTCAGATCTTTTTCACTGTTCTTCAATCCCTCTGAGTGATTAGGTATTCTCATTTCCAATTGTACTTGTTGTAGTTTCTCTCGAATAGCTTGGATCTTTTCAGGAATTCTACTATACTCCTCAACATTTAACTGCTTCAATCCTTTTTTCAGCCTCTTTAACTTCATCCAAATTTTTTGCATAGCATGCCTCAGCATGCTAACTTCCCAGGTATCTTTGACTAGCCTTTGAAACTCCTTATACTCAGCTAGGTTATTGAAGAACTTGAATGGTTTAGGCATAGGTTGGTGATCATGTTCAAAGTAAACACAAATAGGGGTATCATCAGAGAAGAGAGGATCCTGCAGTACCACCTCTAACTGTGTCATATTCATCATCCATCTAGTATTAACTAAAGCTCTGTCTATTCTGCTATATACATGATTGTTTGTCCACATAAATTCTCTGCCAACTATTTTAAGTTCTGTCATTCTTGTGTTCTCTAGAAAATCAAAGAAGTCTCTAGTTTCTGCCTCCATAACAGGGTTACCATTATACCTATCTTCAAAACTTTGAATGGCATTATAGTCTCCCATAGCAATCCAAGGTCTATGTAGCTCATTATGCAGCTGTTCCAACTCTTCCCACATGGCATTTCTATATTCAATGGTATGCAAACCATATACTGCTGTCATCCAGAATTCTTTATGACTTTGGTGTATGATAATCTTCCCAGTGATTAACTGTTCTAAACAACTATGAATGGAAAAGTCCAGTACTCCAGGATCCCACAAGATCCATATTCTCCCTCTGTTACTAGCCACATAATTATCTGTCCACTTCCAATTCCTAGAGATATTTTGGATAGTTTTCTCTGCCTAGGTTGTTTCACCTTGTGCTCAATTATTGCTATCAACACTACTTTATTGTCTCTAAGATACTGCTTTATTTCTCTTTGTTTATAGACTTTATTCAAGCCTCTAACATTTCATGATACTATATTCATCTTGGTATAAAAGGATCATTTGTCTCCTACATCAATTCCCACCTATTTATGCTGCTAGGCCCCAAGCTTACTTGTGCAGTCACCTGAGAACTTGATGGATCAAGGGTATTGAAACCATTGGATATTCTCACCCCATGTTCTTTTCCATATTTCTTGAGCCCTTTGACACAGACTTGTTCTTAACAGTCTTCCAACCTTCATCATCTGCATTCATTGCTGGACTTTGTGAAGAGTTCTGTGGCTCCAATTTCCTCTGAGCTCTAGGCTCTCCCGTTCCCCTGTCACCTCCTGTTTGTTTAGGTCCTTTAATTATGACAGTTGCACTCTTACTCTGCACAGATTGTACGGAATTTGAACTTCCAGCTATTATCGGCGGGGTCTTAAGCCCTTTTGTTAGGGCTGGCCACTGTTCCATTGGTTTTTCCTCAGCTATAACTGTAATTGCCTTATCTAATTTCTCTACTGGCTTCGTGATTGAACCCTTCGATGGTAACTCCTTCAATTCCACACTGATTGCATGTCTCCGAGGTCGACCTCGTGGCATTTTCCGGTGAAGGTGGCGCACAATAGCACTAGCACTCTATCATACGCCGAGAGCGTATATTCTTCTGAGATCTTACAATACTTAATTGGACCTTATTTTCACATTCCCAATATTGACTAGTATGTGAACCTTTTTTTCTAAAAGCTTTGAAATAAATTGCAGCTGTAAAGTACTAATAGTAAACACTAGAAAAAGGTTATGCATTAATTTTTGCATTACACAAAATAATATGTGAGAACTGCTCTGCCATGAGTTAGACATCAAAAAATTAGAACAAACCAAAGGATTTAACTTATATACACTGATAATGTATTTTAACGTTATAAGTTTATCTTAATATGATGTAGCAGTTTTATTTTTCAGGTTACTAACCTCATAATCTATGGAAAATTATTTATAATTATCTTTTAAATGATACGATAATTATTTGTTTCTCTTGTTTTCTGCATATTCTTTTAGGTGACGTGACAGTCTTTTGTTTCTCTTGGCCCGTTTACTTTGGCAAGCAACTAAATTAATTTTGGTGAATTATGTATATATGCAGTATACCTGTAGTATTAGTAAATGGTACATTTCACCGGCATTTTATATTATCATGGGGAGACGATAGAGGAAAGATACATGAAAATGGAGAACTTTTAACACTCTCCTTAGATAAGCAATCTGGATCAGGATTTCAGTCCAAGAAAGAGTATCTCTTTGCCAAAATTGATATGCAAATTAAGCTCGTCCCTGGAAATTCAGCTGGCACTGTTACTACTTTTTACGTAAGTGCTCTCTAATATCACGTTTTTACTGTGATTATGTATGTTAACTTTGAGCTGAGGGTCTATAGGAAATAGTCTCTCAACCTACACAAGGTAGGGATAAGGCTGCGTATCCAGGGGCGGATCTACCTTGCGGCCTACGGGTTCACATGAACCCAATAGCTTTTGTCCAAACAATGTAAATGTGTTCGAAAAATTCACTAAATATGTATAAATGTTTGAATGTGAACCTAGTTACTATTGAAGATTTACTCGAGATCGTTGCAGGAACCCATAAACATTAAATCTTAGATCCGCCTCTGTGCGTATCTCACTATCCTCCCCAAACCTCACTTATAAAATTACACTAAATTTGTTGTTGTTGTTGCTCTCTCTAATATAACGTTTAATTGGTTGAAAATAAATTCAAAAGAAAATTGACAAAAATATTTTATGAATAATGTCACCTTAATATTTTTTTTGTCTTTGCTGCAGCTGTCATCACAAGGCAACAAGCATGATGAAATAGATTTTGAATTCTTGGGAAATTCCACAGGAAATCCTTATACTCTTCATACTAATATTTTCAGTCTAGGCCAAGGCAATAGAGAACAACAATTTTTCTTGTGGTTCGATCCTACTGCAGATTACCATACCTATTCAATCCTTTGGAATCCAAAATGTATTATGTAAGTTATTATCAGTAACTTTTTTGCTTCTGATTTCTTTTATAGCCTGTTTGGTCAATTTTTTTTTTCTTTTGCGCTCAAAAATGTTTTTTTTAAAGTTAAGGTATTTGGCTAAATTTTTGGTAGGGAAAAAAGGTGTTTTTGAGTAGAAGCAGAAAATGTTTCTCAGAAGCAGAAAAAATAGCTTCTTCCCAAAAGCACTTTTTTAAAAAGTACTTTTGAAAAAATTAACTTAATAACTCGTCTGGCCAAACTTATAAAATAAACTTATTTTGAAAAGTATTTTTGATGATAAGCAGTTTGTGTTTGGCTTATTAAGTTGAAAAACACTTCTGAACAACAGTTAGTGTTTGACCAAACTTTTAAAAAGTGTTTCTAAGTGTATCTTTTTCAAAAATGATTTTCAGAAAAGTGTGCTTCTCCAGAACTACTTCTGTTTCAATTCAAAAATACTTTTTTTTTCTATAAAAACTTGGCCAAACACTTCAACTTTGAAAAAAATATCTTTTTTTAAGAAAAAAAGTGATTTTGGTCTTGGAAAAGCTTGGCCAAACAGGCTATTAGAAACACTTTTTAAGAACTTGGTCAAATACTAATTGTAATTCAAAAGTATTTTTCAAATTAATTAGTCAAACACAAACTATTTCTCACTAAAAGTACTTTTCAAAATAAATTGATTTTAAAAGTTTGGCTAAACAGACTATTAAATATGTTGAGTACTTTGCTTTAGAAATTTTGATCTTGACCCCCTTTTTTGAGTACTTTGGTAATTACATTGCAATTAGTAACTTAATTTCCAAGATTCTTTAATGGGATCTTTCCTCATTTATTCTACTTTTTTTTTTCCAATGTAGATTCTATGTTGATGGTACACCAATTAGGGAGTTCAAAAATGCAGAAAAAATTGGTGTTCCATTTCTAAAATACCAACCAATGAGACTATACTCAAGTCTATGGAATGCAGATGATTGGGCTACACAAGGTGGTCGTGTTAAAACTAACTGGAAATTAGCACCTTTTATTGCTTCTTACAAAAATTTTACTTATGAAGCCTGCATTTATTCAAGATTAACTAGTTCGTCTTCGTGCAATATCAACTCTCCTCCTTTTGGTAACAACGCGTGGCTAACACACGAATTGGATCGAAGAAGTCGAGCAAAAATGAAAATTTTGCAGAAAAAACATATGATTTATGATTATTGTAAGGATAAATGGAGGTTTCCTAAAGGACCTGCTCCTGAATGCAAGCTTCAATAACAATATAGGAAAATTATAACTTGTTTATTATGTATAAGATTTCACATATCTTGTATTTTGGGATTTTCTACTTGTTTTTTTTAAAGTTCTTTTTAAGTTATGATTTTGTAGTTTTCTATGATGAATCCTACAGGAGGCTGTTGTATATTGTCATTAATTAATTGAGACTTATATTTTAAATTTTATTAGTCAAGAGTCTGTCGTATAATAATCGACTTTTTTTTATTGCATTTGCTTTAATGGTTCTAAAATAGTTTGACTCAAGAAATAGATTAAATCAAATTATGTATCCATTATGATCAGATTAGATTATGCATTAATCATACATATGTATCAACCTTCGAACCTAATTATAATTTTTTTTCCTTTTTTGTGATATATTTTTACCCCTTAATTCAAATTCGTGGGAGGAGGAGGAGGGAATATTTTGGTAAAAATAGCACGGGCTAGCCAATTTTCGGACCGGTAATTGAAAAATAGCCAGCGTTTGCAAAGTCATTAAAAAATATCCACTATTTTGCTGCAACACGAAAAGTTTCAGCATAATATACTGGAGATTGATGCACATGTGTATGAACTTCCAGCATATTATGCTGGAACTTCAGCACACGAAAAGTTCCAACATAATATACTAGAGATTGGAGCACCTCTAAGCACCTAATTTTTGACTATATTTGAATTTTTTTATCACCTTCTACTGTGTAAATATTTTTAGAAATTTAATATATATTTTTTAGCTTTGTTATATTTTTTTATATAGGGTAAAAATTAAAAATAATTTAAAAGGTCAATTATTACTAATAATATTATTTTTATTTTTATCTTTATTTTAAAATAAATTAAATTTAAAAACTGGAAAAAAAAATATTTTTTTAAAATTTTTGGATGGGAATAAAAAAATAGGAAAAGTATAAGTATGGAATTAAAAAGTAAAAGTAAAAGTAAAAGTAGGTGGAAATTATTTAATAAAAAAGTAAAAGAAAGTGGAAAATTAAAAAAAAATAAAAGTAAAAGAATGTGAAAATTTAAAAATAAAAAGTAAAGGTAGGTGAAATTTTTTTTAAAAAAAGTAAAAGAAAGTGGAAATTAAAAAAAAGAAAAATAAAAAAAGTGAGAATTTAAATATAATAAAAATAAAAAATGGAAAATTAAAAAATAAAAGTTGTTATAAAATAAAGACTGTTAAATAAAGATAAGTATAGAGAGAAACTGATATATTATTCAAACTTCAAACATATATTTATAATGAATTAAAATCTCCTCTATTTATAGAAGAAAGCAAGTTGTTGTGTAAGCTGCTTCTGCAAGTTGCTACTGTATCAGATATAGATAATCTTCTACCGGAGGTAATGTTTATCCGTAACGGAGTACCGATAGGATAAGCTCATTGTACCAGATATAGACAATCTTTTACCGGGGGTGATGTTTATCCATAACGGGGTACTGAAAGCATAAGCTCATTGCACCATATATAGATAATCTTCTACCGGGGGTGATGTTTATCTATAATGGGGTACTGAAAGGATAAGCTCATTGTACCAGATATGAATAATCTTCTACCGGAGGTGATGTTTATCCATAACGGGGTACTGAAATGATAAGCTCATTGTACCAGATATGGATAATCTTCTACCGGGGGTGATATTTATCCATAATGGGGTACCGAAAGGATAAGCTTCTTCAGGAGACTTATTTCCAATAGAGTACTAAATAGATAAACATATTTACGGCGAAGTCTCATATAGATAAGCTTCTTCAGGAAACTTATTTACAACGTAGTACTAAATGAACATTCATAATATAATATATTTATAACACTCCCCCTTGGATGTTCATTAAAAGATAATGTGCCTCATTAAAACCTTACTAGAAAAAATCCAGTGGGAAAAATCCTAGTGAAGGAAAAAGAGTACACATATTTAGTAATACGCATAACTAGTTGTCTCATTAAAAACCTTATAAGAAAAATTCCGTGGAAAGAACCTAAGTAAGGGAAAAAGATTATATCGCGTATTTTACTCCCCCTGATAAAAATCTTGTTTTAAATATTTGAGTTTTCGCATTCCAATCTTGTATACCATCTTCTCAAAAGTTGAAGTTGGCAAAGATTTAGTGAATAAATCTGTCGGATTGTCACTTGAACGGATTTGTTGCACATCAATATTATCATTTTTCTGAAGATCATGTGTGTAGAATAATTTTGGTGAAATGTGCTTTGTTCTATCTCCTTTTATAAATCATCCCTGTAATTGGGTTATGCATGCAGCATTGTCTTCGTATAAAATTATGGATCTTTTATCACATTCAAACCGCATTTTTCTTGAATAAAATGAATCACTCTCAACCATATGCATTCCATACTTGCTTCATGAATAGCTATTATCTCAGCATGATTTGAAGAAGTAGCAACAATAGATTGTTTTGTGGAGCGCAATGATATGACAGTACCTCCACATGTAAACACGTACCCGGTTTGAGATCGAGCTTTACTGGTCTGCACTACCTTTATTAGAATCAAATAAACCTATAAGTGTTCCCTTTAAATATCGCGATATATGCTTAATCACGTTCCAATGTCTCTGTGTAGGAGAAGAGTTATATCTTGCTAGTAAATTAACAGAAAATGTTATGTCGGGCCTTGTAGCATTAGCAAGATACATAAGTGCACCAATTGCACTAAGATAAGGTATTTAGGGACTAAGGAGTTCCTCATCCTCTTCTGGAGGTCGGAAGAAATTCTTATTCACTTCAAGTGATCGAACAACCATTGATGTACTCAATGGGTGCGCTTTGTCCATGTAAAAACGTTTTAAAACCTTTTATTTGTAGGCAGATTGATGGATAAAGATCCCGTCTGTTAAATGTTCAATTTGCAGACCAAGACAAAGTTTTGTCTTTCCAAGATCTTTCATCTCAAATTCTTTCTTAAGATATTCAATTGCCTTTTGGAGCTCTTCTAGAGTTCCAAGAAGATTTATGCCATCAACATAAACATCAAATATAATAAATTCTGATGCCATTTTCTTTATAAAAATATATGGACAAATAACATTATTTATGTAACCTTCTTTCATCAAATATGCACTGAGGCGATTATATCACATGCGCCCAGATTGATTTAAACCGTACAAAGATCTTTATAATCTGATTGAGTACATTTCACGATACTTTGAACTATATGCTTCAGGCATTTTAAATCTTTCAGGTATCTTCATATAAACTTAATCAAATGAGTCATATATGTTATGACTTGCATTTAGATGGTATAAAATCTTTATGTGTTTGGACTACAAGTCCGATCCTCACAATCTTTTACAATATTGTAAACTATGTTGTATCAAATATATTATCGACGATCATTTTGTATCGGTTCCTAAGCGACATAACTTGTTGAGATCTCATCACTTTCTTTATTTTCAGGTACCTGAACTTCTTCTGGAGTTTCATGAAATGTTATGTCGTGGGCTCTTCTAAAGCTCATATCCTCCTCATTATGATCATTTCGATCATTTGATCCTATCATTTTTCAAGGATTGTTACCTTCAGAACTGATCGGTTTACTACGCTTCATGCGTGCAGTAAACTTTATCCTTCAGGGACTTTAATTTTAATAGGAGCATTTGCAGCTAAAATATGATATTTAATTTTGAATCAGCAAATGCTTCTGGCATTTCACTTGAATTATCTTCTAAGTGAGGATCATATTAATGATAATTCGATTCATATAGCTTATTTTTCAGTTGTTTATTTCATCTCCCAAATGTTAGAAAAACTAACACATATCCCCAATCTTCTTTGGGAAACCTATCTTTGTGCATTGTGGTAGAGAAATTAATCATATACCATACATCAAAAGTTATTAGATAGTAAAAATATTTGGTTTCTGATCCTAAACTAATTGTAAGGGGAGGACTTATCATATATTGTTGGTCTGATGCATACAAGTGCTGATGTATGCAATTTAGAAAATCTTAGACCAACACATGAGGCTTTGTTCTCATAAGCAATAGTTTAGCCATTAATAGGAGGTATTCAATGCTAAACTAGCTTGGATATAAACCAGCATCATCAAGATGAGCTATCTTGATTTCATAATCTGAAAATTATGCTCTTAATTGAGAAAAGCAATTTCAAATATCAAACTGTAGGTTGACAATAAACACACATGTAACCATCTCATATATGCATCTATAAGTGGTTCACATGATAGGTGAATGGGGCCATATTCACTTTTTATATTTATTCCAGAATTTAGGAGTCTTAGTCCCAACTTTAGCTGGTATAATTAATTTATTATGAGAATAAGCAACACAAGAGAATTCCTGAAGAATCTTCTAGTTCTTCAGTATATGCTTATCTGAATTCTCAAATAGCTCATTTAAAAATGGCAAATAAAAACTTCAAGTTTATCATGGCACGTGCTATCTCTTAGTAAGCTTCTGGTTTACCATGGCATAAATTTTTGCATTAGTAAACTTCTGGTTTACTGTGATACATGATGTAGTACAAATAATAAGACGCAGTAAGTTCTCACATACATATTATTTTACCCCTAGATTGTGGAAATATTTAGATTTTCAATCTTCTAATTATTTATAGTCTCAGTATGATAGTCATTCGTATTAGTAAACTTCTGGTTTATTACAACATATATTTTGACCACAATCATATAATATGAATGACAAATTTGCATATAAGCTCTTCGGTAGCCTTCAATTTATTGTTCATAATCAAATATTATTCAGGCACTACTTGTGTCATGTGTCTTCTAGACAAACAGTTAGCTTTTCAGGAGCTTTAGATAAATTTTGTACTACCAAATATCTCTCGGACACTTCTGGTATCATGAGAGAAAATTTCTTCAAAATGACATAAACAAAATAAATATAATAGTAAACATCATTATCAAAGCATAACTTTTATTTATGTACAACAATTACATAACTATACTATCTACTATAAACAACAAAAATTAAAATATTTATATTTCTACAGATTCATCACCGGTGGCATGACTTGTTTCTCCTTCCGGGAGTGCAAAATAATCGGCTACATCCAAATGCATGAAATCTAAAATTTGCTTCAGCATTTTTCTCTGTATTCTTCAGGGAGGCTTGATACAGCTCAACCAGGTGCTTTGGCGTACGATATGTACGTGACCG